GAGCTGGAGCACGATCACATTCTAGTTCTGGTATGTTTTTCTTACTGGTTTAGCAGAAAAGATCTTCAAATCTTCGTCTCTACTTCGCTTCAGGATCCATCCAGCTCGAAATCGATCAAAGTTTTTCTCAAACTTCATGTGAAGTATGAAGAAATGATTAACACGATCAAATTCTAAACGATTCGAGAGCTGGAACACTATCAAATTCTGGTTTTGGTATGTTTTTCTTAATGGTTTAGGACGGAAAACCTTGAAATCTCTCACGTCTTCACTCTTTGTTCCAGGATCCAGCTCGAAAATCGATCAAAGTTTCTCTCAAACTTCACGAAACACGGCTGTGGCTTGCCGTGGAGAATTAAATGGACTGCCGTGCTTGAGTCGTGTGTACCATAAAAGCCGGCAATCCTCGAGTTTAAACCTCCTCAAACGGCCGTGGAGGCGCATATTCCCGAGCATCTCTCTTTGACTAGGGTTTTGACCGAGCAGTCTTGCTGGCGCGCACGATCAATCGCTCTGTCCTCTTGCGGCGCTCGCATTCTTCTCTCCCTCTCTGCGCGATCGATTAAATAGCTCGCTCGATCGATCGATTATTTTGCCCCATGGCCGCGGCGCCATAAGCGATCGATCGATCGATCGGTGATAAAATAGAACAGAGGTTTTCGGAGGGATTGGCGAAGAAATCGAGCGAGCACTGCGCAGCGCCGACCTTGTCACTGCTAGTAACATGCGATTTGTCTTTTTCATGTTGGCCGCTAGTGGAGTCTAGCTCATCGATCGCCAATCTTTCTTTTTGGTGTTCTTCGCTTCTCTCATCCCATCCCGCGTTCGTGCCAGTTGTGTACTAGTGTAGAACACCGCACGCTCTTTGTGCTTTCTTTTCTCTCTTTCTTTTTTCCCTAATCTTTCTTTCTTTTCCATCGATCGAGCCGGCCGCATTGCCAGCGGCGGCTCCGCGCCAGAGCGATCATAAGCGCGGCGCTGGAGCTCGGCGTGTTGGCGGCGATCTAAGGCGTGGAACGCTCGCGAGGTACGGATTTTTCGCTCGATGTTCTTCGATTGACGCTCGATACCGCAGTGTCGCGGCTTGGATTCGTGGTATTTCGCTTCTTCGTCACAGCCGGGGTACGAATATTTCGGCTCGGTGTTCTTCGATTGACGCGTGTCGTGGCTTGGATTCGTGATATTTCGGGGCTGCGCGCTCGCGCGATCGATCTTTGAGGTCTCTTCCCAGCCAGGTATGGCAGCATTGATACATCCAAGCGCCCTCTTTTCGTGTTCTTGAGTCGATCGTATTTCTTTCGCCCAGAATGAAGCTCAAGAAGAAGCATCCAGCGGCATTGCTGCTACTCCTGGTGGCATCGGTTCTCGCCATGGCGCTGGCGCAGACCGATTCGGCAGAGCTCCAGGTCCTCCAGAACTTCCTCAAGGGCGTCAAGAATCCGGCGCTACTGGATTCGTGGACTGGGAGCGATCCCTGTGGGAGCAACTGGAAGCACATCAAATGCCAGGGCTCGAGCATATCGGCGCTCCAGGTAGCAGGGCTGGCGCTGGGTGGAACCGTGGCACCCGACCTCAACAAGCTCAAGAATCTCGAGAACCTCCAGCTCCAGGGGAATGGGTTCACAGGATCGCTACCATCGCTTAGTGGGCTCTCGCAGCTCCAAACGGCGCTCCTTTCCGGGAACTCTTTCGACACCATCCCTGGCGATTTCTTCACTGGGCTCAGCGCGCTCACGGAGATCTACCTCGACGACAATCCTCTCAACAAGTCATCCGGGGGATGGATGCTTCCGGCAGAGATCCAGAACTCTTCGCTGCTCTCCACGCTCTCGATCACCAACACGAGCTTGGGAGGAAGCATTCCAGGTTTTTTGGGACAGATGGAGAGCTTGAAGGTGCTCAACGTCGCCTACAACAGGATCTCTGGGGGCATTCCTTCGAGCTTTGGGTCCTCGAATTTGGCGGAGTTTCGGGCAAACAACCAGCAGAATCCGGTGCTCAGTGGGCCGATCACGGTCGTGGGAACGATGCAATCGCTGCGAGTTCTGTGGCTTCACGTGAACCGATTCAGCGGTTCCATTCCGGATGGTCTCGGGGAGGCGCTGTCACTCCAAGAGCTCAAGCTCAACGACAACCAGCTGACGGGAACCATTCCTCCTTCGCTCGCGAATCTCCCGGCGCTCAAGAACTTCACGGTCAAGAACAACTTGCTCGTGGGGGAGATTCCGGTTTTCAAGGACACCGTCGGCTTCGAGTACGCGCGGAACAACTTTTGCAAGAGCAGTCCTGGAGAGGCTTGCGCACGAGACGTGACAGCGCTCTTGCACTTTCTCGCTGGCGTTGGCTACCCCGACTCGCTCACATCGTCGTGGATCGGGAATGATCCTTGTGGAACTTCTGGTAGCAACGGCAGCAGCGGCAGTGCTTGGCTGGGAATCTCCTGCGGCTCGACCCCCGGGACGACTTCGAATGTCACGGTTATCAATCTGGCAAGCAGCCAACTCAACGGCACGCTCTCAGCTGCTCTCGGGAACTTGACGACGCTCACGACTCTCAGGCTCAGCGACAACAAGCTGGAAGGTCTCATTCCAGAGTCCCTGGCGAAGCTACCTTCGCTGCAGTCCGTGGACTTGAGCAACAACCTCTTCTCGGCGCCAGTGCCAGCTTTTCCGTCCTCGGTGAAGCTCAACATCGCTGGCAATCCTCTCACACCCGCCGCGTCTCCAGGGACTTCTCCGCCGGGGGGGACTTCTGGGGGACCAGCTGCGACGCCGGATGGACAGGCTACTGCTACCACTCGATCGAAAAGAGTGAATGCAGGTCCCATCGTGGGAGTTGTGGTCGGGCTAGTGGCACTGCTGCTCGTTTTGTTTGGGATCTGCTTGCTGGTTTACAAGAAGAAGGGACGTAAGTTCTTGAGGCTACAGGGATCCAACACGGTGGTTGTCCATCCTCGGACAGACAACTCCTCAGACGATCCAGAGGTGGTAAAAATCGTGGTGAACAACAACATGATCACCAGTGACAACAGCGACACCCAGAGCCGGGCCAACAGCGGGCCCAGCGATCACGTTCAAGTTGTGGAGGCCGGGAATCTCGTCATCTCCATCCACGTCCTGCGAGAGGCCACCAAAAACTTCAGCGAGGCGACTATCCTAGGCCGTGGGGGATTCGGAGTCGTGTACAAGGGAGTCCTGGACGACGGCACGGCCATAGCGGTGAAGCGGATGGAATCCAACTGCGTCGTCAGCAACAAAGGCCTGGGCGAGTTCCAGGCCGAGATCGCGGTTCTGACCAAGGTCCGCCACCGCCACTTGGTGGCGCTGCTCGGCTACTGCATCGAAGGCAACGAGAAGATGCTGGTGTACGAGTTCATGCCGCAGGGGACGCTGAGCCAGCACCTGTTCGAGGCTGCCAAGTGCGGCTATCCGCCGCTGGACTGGAAGCAAAGGCTGTCCGTGGCGCTGGACGTGGCTCGCGGCATGGAGTACCTCCATGGCCTGGCGCACAGGAGCTTCATCCACAGGGACTTGAAGCCGTCCAACATCCTTCTCGGGGACGACCTCCGGGCCAAGGTCTCGGACTTTGGCCTCGTGAAGCTGGCACCCGAGGGGAAGTACTCGGTGGAGACGCGGCTGGCCGGAACGTTTGGATACTTGGCTCCCGAGTATGCAGGTTGGTATTCCTCTTCTTTTCATTCCTTTCTTTACTTTTGGCACATTGGCTGGTCGTGCGGTTTTGTCTGGGTGTCACAGAAGAGTTTTTGCTTTCTTTTTTATGCTTAAATGCTTCTGTTTCCAGCTGTTTTCCCCTGCTTGCTTGGGCTGTGTGCTTCTTTACTTTTATGCTGTCTGTTCGCTGCCGTGCCTGCCTGGCTGCTGCTGCTACTGCGCGCGTGTGGAATTCTCGTTTTCGTGCTCGATCCGGCAGAGGATTTTGCGAGAAAACGCTGCATGGTTTGTTCGTTATTAACGTACTCTCGCAGTTACCGGACGCGTGACCACCAAGGCCGACGTCTTTAGCTTCGGGGTGGTGCTCATGGAGCTGATAACGGGGCGGCGGGCGCTGGACGAGACGCAGGCGGAAGAAAACATGCATCTGGTAACGTGGTTCCGGCGATCCACCGCCAACAAAGAGGGAGTCCGTAAGCTCATCGACCCGGCCATCGAGTCCGACGACAACTTCGCGAGCATCAGCGTGGTGGCGGAGCTCGCCGGCCACTGCACCGCGAGGGAGCCATACCAGCGGCCGGACATGGGCCACGCCGTGAACGTCCTCTCGCCGCTGGTGGAGCACTGGAAGCCGGTGGACTACGAGGACGAGAGCGGCGGGATCGACCTGGACGTGCCGCTGCCCCAGGCGGTGAAGCGGTGGCAGGAGCTGGACAGCGGCGGCGGTGGCGGCGGAGCGGCGGCGGTGTGGAGCGACACGCAGTCGAGCCTCCCGCCGCGGCCGTCGGGCTTCGCCGAGACTTTTACTTCCGAGGACGCTCGCTGAGAGACGAGGAGACGACGATGCATTTCTCTCTCTTTGGTGGCGAAAGTTTTGCTTCTTCTCCCCTCGCCCGCGCGTCGAGATCGATCGATCGATCGATCGATCGATTGAGAGAGGGTGAGGTTCGTTGCCGCTCCCCTCTCCTTTTTTTCCTCTCTCTTTGGTCTTCTTTGTTTTCTTCCATCTCCACAGGAACTGCTTTTAAGTTATGCTCTTTTGTTTTTGATTGTATAGGTGTGAGATTTCCTGTGCTTGGAGACGACAATTGTTCTTCCTGTTTTAAAATTTTCCCACGCATATTCCTTCGGGAATATACCTTAGTATATTCTCAAAGGAATATGCCTTACAGCCGTAGGCATATTCCTAAAGTGCATATTTATTTATTTTTTAAACTGTTTTTCTCTCGTAACGGGAAATAGAAAGTGGGGCAAATTTAGGCAATGGGGGGAAATTCGGTCCAAACGCACACTGACTTTCCTCCCGTGGCTGACTTTGAGAGCCGGGGATTTCCAAAAACTGGCTACATTCCAGGTATTTTGGCACGGCTTCCGTCATGGCCGAGCGATCGAGACATGTCGCGCAATTGAATTTTTTTAATCTACCTAGAGCTCCACTCGCGATTCCTCCTTTTCCGTAGCCTCTCGCCTTGGCGAAAGGGAATCCACTCTTTCGCCATCGTCATCGTCATCTTTCCTCAGCTTCCAAGTCGCAACGTCCTCTATCCATCTCCTCTTCCTCTCCTTCTCTGGATCAAATCGCGAAGCAGCGGAAGAAGGCCACTCCGGGACCCCATCCCCTGGCTTTTCCTCTGAGCTAGTCGGGTTTGATCAAATGGCAGCTTAGCGACGAATGGAAGCGGGACCAGCAGCACAACAGTACTGTGCGAATTCCGCCTGTCACGCGGAACTTCTGTAAGATAGGAGGCACAAGCGGCAACGCAAGGAATAAAGACAGAAGGAAAACAAGCTTTCGGACCGTACCTAGCATAAGCTTGAGCTGTTGTGGAGTACCTTGCGCTTCTTTTCGCTCTCAGTGAGTACCTAGTGCCAGTTTCCGAGAACAATCTCGACGATCAATCCAAGACCCTGCCAGCGGACATCAACTTGATTGTTCGTGCTCGATCTTGCTGCTTGCGGTAGTCTTCGCCGTCGTCTTTCTCCGCCCATATTTATCTCTTGCTCGGCTGCCTGTGCTGTCCAGAAAAGGCCCGATTTGGTCGTTTCCGAGCTCCTCTCTCCACCAAAATCCTCCTTCGTCGCCCTCCATTTAAAATCCCTCGCTCTGCTCCTGACTCCCAGCAAACCTTCCCTTTCCTTCTTTCCTCTAGGAGCACTTCCTTGTGTTCAACGATGATTCGCAGCAGCTGGTGAGTACACACGGCCTTGCACTTGCACTTTGAGCTCTGTGTTTCCGGACTGAGGAGAAGCCTTGGTCGTAGGAATGGAGCTGGCAGACGAGGCGTGGCGAGCAAGGACAGGATCTTCCAAATCATCCGCTCCCTGGCAACATCAACACAAAAGCAGAGGTCAGTAATCTATCCATACAAGCACAGAAAAAAACTCAAAAACCACAAACTGCTGAAGAAAAACGTGCCTTGAAAGATAGGATCATCATCAGCTGATTGCCCAAAAAAAAAAAAAACCATACCTTCCTCCCATTCTCGGTTAAAGAATGCGCACCACACCACCTCCAGCAGAGTGTTTTGTCTCAGCAACGAACCTGTCCTGGCAAATTTCTTCCGCTCTCGACAGCTGTTGCTTTGTTCCGAGTTTTTGTTTGCCTTTTGTTACCCCGCGTCTCCCTGGCTGATATCTCTCCGTTTCCTTCTCTGCGTTATCTAGATTACTCGGCAAAGTGGCAATCATCACCGGTGGAGCAAACGGTATCGGCGACGCCACCGTCCGCCACTTCGTCGCGCACGGCGCTCAAGTCGTCATAGCCGACGTCCAGGACGAGCTCGGCAGCCACCTCGCGCGGGAGCTCCAGCGGGACTTCTCCTCCCCGACCGCTGCTCGCTACGTCCACTGCGACGTCACCGCGGAGCCGGACGTGGCCGCCGCCTTGGACGTGGCCCACTCCATTGCCGGACACGTAGACGTTGTCTTCAGCAACGCCGGCATCCTGGGCGCGCTGGGGCCGTTGGATCAGACGGACGTGGCCGAGCTGGAGCGCACCATGCACGTCAACCTCCGGGGCCACTTCCTGGCGCTCAAGCACGCCGCTCGCGTCATGAAGCCTCGCGCCGCCGGCTCGATCATCCTCACGGGCAGCGTGGCCGGGATAGTCGGGGGCCTCTCGCCTCACGCCTACGCGATGTGCAAGGCTGGAGTTATTGGCCTCGTCCGGTCCAGTGCCGTGGAGCTGCGAGAGTTTGGCATCCGCGTAAACGTGATATCCCCCGACGCCATACCAACAAAGTTCTTGAGCACCGCGCTGGAAACCATGGGAGACTTACCTGTGACGGCGGAGAAGGTCGTGGAGATTGTGAAGAAGAACTCGCTGCTTCCAAACCGCCCGCTCTGCGCCTTGGACATCGCCAACGCCGCGCTCTTCCTCGCCGGCGACGAGTCTGGGTATGTGAGTGGACACAACTTAGTCGTGGATGCGAGCAACACGGTCACCAAGCCGGCCATCATGCATACCTGGTTTACGACTTACGCTCCCATGCTCCAAGAAGCCGGGAAGAGGGGTCTCACCTGAAAAACAAATCGCCCTTGAAGTTGAGCAGTCCTTGGTTGAGCCTGTAACCAATGATAAGCTCGGAAACGAATAATCTTTTACCGCTGCTGCCAGTCCTTTAATACGAAAGCTTTGAACAGTAGTTTAGTTTACCTCACTCACGTCACCCACAATGTGGTATCATGCTCCACTATATGGCACTGCAGCAATACAACATGGGAAGTCATGTAGAAAAGAAATAAAAAGAAGAACGAGACACTTTAGTAGACCTGTGCTGGGGTTGCGAGATTGCGTTTTATTCCATCCTGCTACCTGTCTCGAGACCTGTCATCATTCCCAGCCGATGCAAAGAACGAGCAAAATGATAGAAAACAGAAACTTCGAGTTGCGCATTCACGCCGTTTCGTACTTATTCCCAAGAATGTCATGAGTGACCAGACAGAGAACTTCAAAAAGTGGAAGAAGCTCAACTTGCCTCAGTAGAGACCCAAGATCTTCCACCATATTGCTCCACTTACGGTCCAAACAATGCCGTTCCACAGGGCTACAATGGCCCCGTATTTAAAAATGTCCCGCAATTCAACGTATCCAGCTGAAAGTCAAGAACGAAGACAGGAACAAGTTAAGTTTAGAACGAAACACTTGTTTTGGAATGACAAAGTTACCTCCGTAATAAACAGCTGCCTGACCACTGCTGTAGTGCGTGAGCGCACCAAAGAGATTTGTGTTGTAGGCCAAAGCCAGCGCTGACAGCACGCCAGGAACACCAGCTGCGAGGTGCATGGCTAGGAAGGCCGAGTAGAGTGCACCGACGTGACCGGTTTGGCTCGCAAAGAGGTAGTGAATCAAAAAGTATGAACCCTGGAGAACGCCGAATGCAGCAGGCCAGCTGAGAGAAAACGAGGCCAGGACTTTAGCGACGGAGTCGGACATCCACTTTACGAGTCCCAAGCTGGTAAGCTGGCTGGCCATACCAACAAGTACTGCAAACCACGCAAGAGTATCCCAGGCTGATTTCTCGCTCAGGCAGTCATCCCAATTGAGGACGCCAAGAACCAGTAATATTGACAAGCCGAGCATAGCTGCCACAACACTTGGAACTCCAAGTTTATCTCTGCGAGAAAAAAAATCACCAGTAAGACATCGCAAATTACTGGATGAAACCATAACTTACCCCAAAACCCACAGAGTAACAGCGAGGAGCATCGTCGAAACCATCACCCACTCGCTCTTAGTCACAGGCCCCATTTGCTGCAGCTTCTTTTCAGCCATTGCAGGAGCTTCAGGAGTGTCTTTGATCTCGGGAGGATACAGCTTGTAGAGGAGCAACGGGGTTGAGAGTAGCGATAAAGCGGCCGGGACGATCGCCACTTTAAGCCATGTCACCCATGGATTCGCCACGATAACGCCCAGCTCCTCTGCCAGCTTCAGGCACAATAGATTCTGTGCCGCAGCAGTCAAAAAGAGAGCGCTCGAGTTTCCAGCAGCCTGCATTTCGCGCCACCAACACTTTTAAAACCAACATATCACGTAAAAGTTGGAAACCAAACCTGGAATTGAGTCTGGACGAGGTACGCTCCAAGCTTTGACGACGATTTATCGTTTGGACGGCTCCCAGCCGAAAGAGAGAGTGAGTTGATGATCGGCAAGAACACTCCCCCCGCTCGTGCGGTCGTGCTCGGCATCGCTGGTGCTATGAGCGCTTCGCTCACAGTAAGCCCATAAGAAAGTCCCAGTGTGCTTTTCCCCAGCCACTTCACGAAGTACGTGGCAATTCTATCACCCAGGCCGGTTTTCACGAATCCTCTCGCGAAGAAAAAGGAGATGACGATGAGCCAGATGACATCGTTTGTGAAGGCGCTGAAAGCCGACGCGAAAGATAGTGTCCGTGTGAGCACTGTTGTTGTCAATCCTACGAAGGCCCAAGCTCCAACCGGCAGTGGACTGAGAACGAGACCCGTGATCGTCGATAAGAAGATCGATAGGAGCTGCCAGGCTTGAGCCGACACTGCCGCGGGCTTTGGAACCAGGAATCTCAAAATCAGCCCCACACTGACCGAGATCGCCAGTGGCAAAGGCTTGGCACCCTCCAGCGGCTTTTTCAGAGATTTCGGATCGTCCGCCTCGATCACTGTTGCCGGCGTCGACGGCTCTGGAGCCGACGAGCACGAGATTTTCCTGGAGGACGAGGAATCCCTCGAGATGAATCCGACCTGGCGCGGCGGCGAGCAGCTCAATCCAGCGCGCAATCCGATGCCAAATGCGGCTTTCCGGGATGGAAATCTGACTGGAGAAACTGCGGAGTTCCGCCAGTGCGTCAATCGAGCGCCCGGAGCTAGCGTTTCCATCGCCAATGCCCTGTCCATCCCGAGATTTCCTTACCAGCGCTTCAAGATTTCCAGCTGCCTGGGAATTCTTGGGCGATTGGACGATCAGATTAGCCAGGAGGACGCCATCGCTTGATCGTTGAATGGAGGCCCCGAAAACCCTAGCCTTAGAAAACCACTGGCTTAACTAAAGCATACATTTGCCACCATTCGTTTAGTCGGCATTTACAATGTTAGCAGAATATACCGACTTTTGAACGTTATTGACGGCACCGTCTATTTTGATTTCAAGGTTTAGGGTTCTTCGCAGAGAGTTGCGGCGTAGCGATGGTCGCGAAGAACAAGAGCAAGCCCTTGGCGGCAGGCGGCGAGCTGGAAATCCAATCCGGCGGTCTTCCACGGCGCCTGGCATCGGTCGACAAGAAGGTACGCGATCGCGCAGTGGAGCTCCTGGCGAGCTGGTTGGAATGCCGGACTTCCGTGGACGAAGCCGACCTGAGGAAGATCTGGAAGGGGCTTTTCTACTGCTACTGGCACGCAGACAAGGCGATTGTCCAGGCAGATCTTGCGGAGCGCCTCGCATCGCTTGTACAGCGCCTTCCGAGCGAATTAGCTCTCCAGTTCTTTGAGGGGTATTTGGGCACAATGCGGAGAGAATGGGGCGGGATAGACCATTTGAGGATGGACAAGTTCTATCTTCTCCAGCGGAAGTTCGTGAGTTCTATGTTCATGGCACTCAGGCAGCAGAGATGGGACAAGGAGATTGTCCAGCGCTACATGGACGCTTTGAAAAATCGGGCTTTTCTCTCCAACGATCTCTTCCCGGCCCAGGGGTGTAGTATGCATCTGGCGGACATTTTCTTGGAGCAACTTGATGGTGTTCTTCCGGAGGAGAAAGAAGTTCTCGGCATTCTTCTGGAGCCTTTCTATGCAACTCTTGCGCTTGGTCCGGACAAGAATGTGCTGAAGCGCGTCAAAGAAAGAGTTTTTGATCGTCTTTTGGAGGCTGCGAGGGAGAGTGTCGACGCTGAAGGGTCAGAGAACAAGTTGGCCGAGTTCGTGACCGGTCTACCAATGGAAAAGAGGCTTTTCGAGCTCGCAGCTTCAGCGGACACTGTACAGAGAAATCGCAAGGTGCTGTACGCTCTCTCCGAGGACTTTAAGAAGATCAAAAGGAGTTTGGACCTGAAAGCTTTGGCGAGTGCAGCTTCCAAGATGGAAAAACCAGCCAGCAGTGCGGCACCAGCTAATGCCGAGGTGAAAAGTCCAGAGGCTACCGTGAAACAGGATGATCCGGTGGTCTCCAACTTGGAGAAAAAGTTCGAGGTTGCTGTGGGGGAAAATGGCGATGGTGGTGCTTCACTCCCTCCTCTGGAGATGGTTCTCTCTCCTCTCATCGGGGAAAAACCGAAGAAGAAGAAGAAGAACGCGGAGACTAAGGCGATTGTTCTTCCGGACGAGACCCCGATGGTCTCATCTGCTGCTGCTCCGGAGGAGCGCGGATCTCCGGCAGGCTCCAAGAAGATAAACAGGAAATCGCCAGTTTCTCCGCTCCACACCGCCAGCAAGAAGAGAAAGAGCTCCAAGGACGACGATTCTCCAGCGGTGGCCGAGAGCAACACCGACGCGGGCGAGACGAGCACCGGCAAGAAGGCAAAGAAAGTGAGGTTCTCGCTCAAGAGCAACACTACGTGGAAGTTTGGCAAGCCTTTCAGGATGACTCCTCTGGCCTTGGATTCCACTCCAAAGGCCAGCGCTCTGAAGCAGGGGCTCTTGCCAGGGCCGATCTCTCACGTCTCGCCAAGGAAGTTCTCGCCAAGGAAGTTCTCGCCAAAGAGGAAGAACACTCCATCGCCATCGCCAAAGCAAAGGAGGGGGGGAAAGGCCACGCCAGGGCCAAAGAGATCTTCGCCAAAGAAGAAAGCTCTACGATGGTAAGAAAAACAAATTCTGGGTGAAATTATTTGACCAACGATGGTAAGAAAAAAAAAACGGGGTGAAATTCTTTCCAACAATGGTAAGAAAAAATGGCGTGAAATGAAATTCTTTGTTGCTGGACCATGCGTACGGAAAGTGTCTAGGCCATTCTCCATACGATTTTTTTCCCATGTGTGTGTGGCGCGTAACGCGTATGTGTCTCCTTACAAAGGTAAACGTGAGACACATGCACCTCCGTCAATCTAGGGTTTTGGGCTTCTTCTCGTAGCGATCGATAGCATTCTCTCTTGGCGCCGCGCCAAATCTTCGGAGGTAAGGATCGCATTCTCTGTCCCTGATCGATCGATGTCTCTCTTCCTGTTCTTGCAAGAAGCAGGGATTCGCGGAATAGAGAAATCTAGCTTCCAATCGATCCAAATATTTCCATCCATGCCGCGATTTCTACCTCCATCGGATCTGCGAGAGGTTTCTCGAGGCATCGATCAAGAATAATCTCCAGGATGGGCGCCATTGACGTGCTCAGCCGGCCGCTTCTACTCGACGATCGCCTCCACGACCATGACAGCGTCAATCCAAGCCTTGGCTGTCCTAGCAGCTCTAGATTTGAGGAGGAAGGCAATTCCACCGACATGTGTGTGGTCGACGTCCAAGACTCTGGGAGGAGCGCTGTCTCTTCGGCCAATTCCAAGGTAAAGTGGTGGAGCGCCTGGGAATTCAAGGACTTGCCTCCACTACCGGCCAGCTCGCCCGTGGATCCTTTCCGGAACAGTAGCTACAAGTTTGGTGGAGCCTGGGAGGTCTTCAAGGCGGTGCTGTGCTCGCCGCTGCTGGTGGTGAGAGTCATTCTCATTGGAGTTTTCTTGTTCCTGGGATTCCTGTGCACGAAGCTGGCGCTATGGCGCTGGGAGAGTGACCACAAGGCCATGCCGCGATGGAGACGAGATATAATGTGGGGCACTCGAGTTTGCGCTCGAGGTATACTCTTCTGCTTTGGGTGCGTAAGCTTTTCTTCTACTATTTCTTTGCCTGTCTTTCCTTTCTTCTTCTAGTTCTTCTGTCGATCTTCTTGTTCTCACACTTTTGTTCTGGTTTATCCAGGTTCCATTGGATTCAGCGCATTGGAAGGCCTGCTCCCAGAGAAGTCGCTCCCATCCTGGTGTCAAACCATGTATCGTTCATCGATCCTATGTTCTACTTCTTTGAACTCTTCCCGACCATCGTGAGCTCGAGTTCACACAATGATCGTCTTTTCGTCGGCACCATAATAAGATCAATGCAGGTATTAGGTGCCACTTTCGATCTGATAAATGAAATCACAGTTTGGTGTGTTCAGGTGATTCCCGTGGATAGGTTATCTCCAGCTTCAAGGAAAAGCGCCATCGCGGAAATCAAGGTAAAGTATTTTCTCTTTGGCTGGATGTAACACTACATTTTATGGATGCTCATGCAGAGGAGAGCGATGTGTAGCGATTTTCCTCGTCTTCTTTTATTTCCCGAGGCTACTACAACGAATGGAAAGGCTCTGATATCGTTTAAGCCCGGTGCATTCGTTCCTGGATTTCCAATACAACCTGTTGTGGTTAGGTACCCGCACGTTCATTTTGATCTATCCTGGTATGTGCTTGAAACACCAACTTGATAGCCTCTCATCCTTTTGCTTCACAGGGGCAACATCTCTCTGAAAAGCTTGATCCCTCGGATGCTGCTTCAATTTCACAATTTTATGCAGGTCAGATGAATTTTTGTCTAAGCTTAAAAAACCATTTTGTGGGCAAGCAGGTTCATTATCTTCCTGTTATATATCCCTCGTCGCATGAAAAGTCCCATCCAGCGGATTATGCACAAAGGGTAAACGTGCTTGAAACTAATACTCATACTTATCATTCTTTTGATTTTCAGGTGAGATATGCAATGGCAAGGAGCCTCAACGTTCCGGAAACGGAACACAGCTACGGTGATTTACTCCTTTCTGCAAGATCGTTGTCGCTGAAAATGGTACGTCCTTGAAATCTTGTGAGTTTATTTAGTTTGCTCTTTCTTTAGCCTTTTTCAACCTCGTTCACACTTGAAATGAGAAAAATGGACACGGTAAGTTATCGGCATCGAGTCCTTTCTTACAGAGTTGTTCTCAGAGATCTCAGGCCTGACCTCCCAAGTTTTCTCGTAGCAACTCCAGCTTACAGACGCCGACGCACTCTACTATTTGGAGAAATTCTCAATCATGAATTCATCTCGCAGGTAAATCTATCAACCTGCTCTTTTCCTGTTCACATAATCCTCTTCTACTCATGCAGTGGGCAACTGACGAGGTTTGAGTTCTTGCAAAGCCTGGGACTTACACATTCTCCATTCGGAGAGCAGGTAAGAAGCGAAGATCGATATGTCTTAAGAAAACTGGCTACTCACATCAGAAATTCACAGGCTTTTGCGATGTTTGACAGGAAAAAGCATGAATTCGTCACCTTCCAAGAGGTAAGCATTGTCACTACTGGTTTGCTCCCAACACTGGCTGATTGATGCAGTTTGTGGCCGCATCAGTATCTTTGTCCAGAAATGCAAGCTTTTTGAAGCTGCTGGATTTGACGTTTTGCCATGCGGTCCACAAGAACAGCAACGAAATGCTTCTCATGGACAAGGTAAGCTTTTTTGTCTCACACTTTTGCTTTAAATCTTGTGTTCTTTCTTGAAAGGTTGCCACACTTTTGGAGAGGAATTGTGCTGGATCTACAAGCAAGGTGGCTTTCATACACTGCAGCATCATTTAGATTCATTTTAACACTGCAGGTGCTTGTGGATCAATTTTGTAAACAAACCGACCGGATGGACCATGCAACGTTTTGCTTATATCTTAAAAGAAATCCAGAGCTAATATTTCCCTTGTCTCTGGTAATTCTTTCTTTGAATGAGGAATAAACTTAAGGATCAAAATTAAAATTATGAGTTGAAAAGAACAAATAATTCCAATAATTTAGCGGAATTTGTAAGGAAATTAAGAGACATAACTTAATAAGTCTTAAATTCATTGTACCTGATTCTTATAACACAATATGAAATTGAAAGTATAGATGGAATTTTTCTATAGGAGAGCTGTTTGGATGATTTCTTCAACCTGATCCATCCTTTGGGCCTCTCAACTGAACAGCTGGAGAAGATCTTCACAGAAATCATTACCCTAGGGGAGTATTGTGAGCTTAAGAAGAAGGTAACCTTGATTATTCCATAATCCAACTTTTACTTCTGGGTAGGTAGATGCAGAAACCAAAAAAAACTCCTAGAATAGTTAGTTAATGGCAAAGGATCCATTATGTGTAAATCTCCTAGAAAAGCTTAAGAATCCAAGACCTCTCTTATAGAATATGGTGCTAGATCTCAAATGAACTCATTTTCTCATTTTGAGCTTCTCACTATCAATTTCAACTACTAAAAGCCATCTCCTAGATCAAGATTTTACATTTGAGGAGGCCTAATCTCCTAAATTTAGACTTCTTGAAAATTCATTTAGATTAGTGTTATTTAAACTTGAGGATGTTTAACCCTTAATATATTTGTCTCTACCTTTGACTAATGTGTATATCTTCCACCACCTGGTTCACATGTTTAGTCTACCTATCCGTTTAAGGATGATTATTATATGATAGAGTTATAAATATGGTTTTGTCATCATTTGAGTAAAGTGGTCAATGAGTTTGGATAGTTAGTTGAGCATGATCATTAATCAAGTAAATATAATTGATGCATTCCTTGAGTATGAACTTAAAATGCCTAAAACTTGTGTTGAATGCCTTCTTGGAGATACACATGTCATCCTTTGCAATTTGATGATCCATTCTTTAGATCAATCTTGGTAAATATTTGAGTATCAAGTTTTATTATGATTATAAATAAACTGTTAAGAGCAGTAAATCATAACTATTGATTTAAAAAAATCATAAAATATACCTAGATATTCTTGTTTTATCCTTTACACCTTTTAAGAAATATAGCAACTCACTGCACAAGCAACGGAGTGTTAGCCATCCATCCACGGATTCCCAAATTCTTTCCTAATCCCCCTCTCTGGGTTAGACTTTTAAAGTTCAACTACACTCCCCAAAGGCACAAACAGCTAAGCACACCAAGCCTTCAAATTTTTAACATCCCTTGGTACAACAAGACTTAATCATATAACCCTTTAAATCCCAAACCTTAGATGCAATACTTGCTTTAGGACACCAGGGGGGAAACACCATGGCCTAATAGCCTAGTATGGGTACCCCTACTCCCCCACTTTCATCCCAAAGGGAAGGCCCAAGAATCAATGAGCCACAAAATACTCAAATGAGGCACCACTTCACATGAGCCGGAAGCATTACAATTGGTTTCCCTTCCGAGAGTGGGAGTTACTCTTGAACACTTCCTTGGGTGGCCCCTCCAGCACCACCTGAGTCAGTGAGCAACTCCAAAGAGTGAGACATGGTAACTCTTTCCTGGATGCAATGTTTAGCCAGAGCAGCACCATCACTTGCAATCTCCATGGCAGTCTTGCCACCAACAACCGAAATATCTGCTTTTTTTGCCAGTTCTCGAATGATTCCTGTGTTGGCATCGCAAATATCCTGACAGAGCTGTGCAATGCTGACTGTTTCATTGCTGATCTTCTTGAGCAGACCACCAGATTTCTGTGTCATTGCATCATTCCAGGCATGGTTGCGAGCAATTGACAAAACTGTCAAATACAGAAAATGATTCAGAAGACAAAGAGAAGACAAATCCAGAGCTTACCTTCTTCCTCGTTGCCCGATTGCAACGCAACGCAATCATGCCGAGAACAAGCCAGCACCAATGCCAGAACACTGAACGAAAGTGATTCCACATGATCATTTCGGGGATGAAAGCATTTGCGCTTCCAGCTTTGAATCTCTGTCCGTACTCTTTTATTAGGGTTAGGGTTAGGAGCGATGGCGATGGTAATCGGGCGGTCCAAGACATTTTCCGTTGCGCGAAACGCTGTGAGAGCATTCCAGGATCCGAAGACGGGTGTCAATTGTGTTCAGCGGGATAACAACCCAACAATGGCTTCTCATGTATGTACTGTGATTATGCGATTATCTGTTTGTATCAATTCCTTTCAGACTTTCATGGCGAGCACAGAGATTAAGGGAGAGCCAGTGACAATCATACTTTCTCACGTTTACAGCGGTGATCACTCGAGTATGTTGTTTTCCTTCGATTTTTTTTTAAGCTTATACTTGCTTACAGAGGTTCTGCGGCTTTGTGATTTCCGGCTTGCTTCCTTCAAGAGGCACCTCCATCAGCTTGCCAATGGGATAAATATCAACAGTGTGATGAGCCTCTACTCCAAGTAAGCTTTTCATTCAAGATGCTGCTTTGTATCTTCAGTTTCTGCAGTGTGGAGAAGGAGCTCCGTGAGCATGTTACAAGGGACATGCCGGAGAGAGAGGCGTATTGCAAGACACTAGACATTGATCCTGAAATAGATATAGACCCTGATCCCATAAGTACAGTCAAGGTAACGTATGTTGAAATGGGCATTCGGCTAACTTGTATCTGTTCAGGAAAATGATTGGCTTCCTCATCTTTACACAACTCTGGTAGCCATATATGAAAGCGGGAAGGTGGCTGTTGGTGGGCCAGGGGCGATGTCGGTTGCTGTTGCTGGACAGAGGAGCTTAAAGGTAAGGACTTCTCTGTCCAATTAGTAGAGGTCTGAAGATGGTGTTTACAGGAGTTTTCAAGTTCTTGTGAGAGCTATGCAACTCTGCAATGGGTAAGAATTTGTTCTTGATGTTGTTCTTGAAGCTCAATTGTTTTCTACAGGGACATCTAAATCGTGATGAGGTGCTGCTCATATCTGACATTTTCTCTCGTGTACAAACCTCATGGAACGCGGGGGAACTAGAGGTTTGTTTGTTTATTATTTCTCAACAGGTGTTGAATCTGTTTACTTGCAGATAGATAACATTTCCACTACAGCAGAGGAAGCCGATCTTGGAACTTTGGCGATTGTTGTCATATTTGTTTAGATAATATAGGTTACCATTAAGAACCAATTTACGAGCGGCATTAAGACAGCTAAATACTAAAGCATTTATCTAGATGTATTTTTTGTTGAACCAAACCTGAAACATTAGATCGCTTATAGTGAACAAACAATGAATTGTCACAGAATGTTAAATGCACCAGGTCACAGCGTCATGGTGTCGAGCGAAGAGTTCAACGGGGTTATGGACAAAGCCAACGACGATGCAGATTTGGCTGCATTTCTCGCGGTGGCTGCACTCATCGTGGAATGGAAAGTGTTTACGCTTCCGATCAATTACGTCTTAGCAGGAGGCGGAAGCATCGGCTTGTGGATCTGGAGAAGCAGTATGTTGCTTAGGGGACTTTTGTGGTTGTGCAAGATCTGGATATGATGAAGCGGCTGGTGATGAGATTAGGCTGCGAGATTGAGTTCACGAACAGGACCTTAGCCTTCTGCCTGAAGCACGAGGATAAGTTGATTCTGCGGGAATCGCTGCAGCGGTTGAGCAGGAATCAGATTGTGCTTGGGCAGCTCGTGGATGATCTTGAGGAGAACATTTCATGAGCATCAACAAAGCTCATAGCCTCGTCGTTCGTGAGCTTTGTTGAGATCATCTTGCTGAGAGAGCTCTGCGGGGAGAGTTTCGAGGACAACGACTCCTATAGGCTTCGATAGTACGCAGCAATAGCTTAGCGATTGCAGCTAGAACTGCAAAGTTGGCTCTTTCAAGAAGTTTCTTTGAAACGAAAGTTTGGAAGTTTGAGAAGTTTCTTGCCTGGCTGATAGGTTGCCATCATTCCTTCATCTTGGTGTTTCGGTATGTTCCATGAAAATGGGACTTGATTGCGATGCTGTCAATCCTGAATGTCAAGAGAAAGAATCAGAACTTCAGTGGATTTTAAATCACAAAAGAACCTTACCTATTGCTTGCGGAGAAGTTTGTGATGGAATGAATGGACGCTGTCTGGAGCTCCAGCTCCCTCGCCAGCGATGTTGCTGTAGTGGGTTCTAGTCCAAGTTTGCGCTGCAGCAGCGACACCACCAAATGCTACGCCGAGGCCTTGCGAAGATGCGGGAGCAGCCAGAACCTCTGGGAAGGCAAGAGGCTCCACTTCCTCCTCAAGTCCCGCGGCTACGATGGCGATACGTTTCTCGGGAATTTGCTCGTCCAGATGTATGGCAAATGCGGCGAGCTCGATCGAGCCCGAAGTGCCTTGGACCGGATAGTCACCAGGAACGTCTTCTCTTGGACAATTCTCATCGCCTACTTCCAGAACGGGCTCTTCCGGGACGCTCTCGATGCCCATCAGGAGATGAAGGACGATAGAATGGAGCCGGACGACTTCATCTTCTCAATCGCTCTGGGTGCCTGTGGAGCGCTCGGAACTGACGCGCTCGAGGAGGGACGGGCGATTCACTCGCACTTAATCGTTGCATCTTCCACCGGAGCAAAGGCACCATCTTTCGGCAAGAGCAGCATCGTCACGACTGGCTTGGTGGACATGTATGCCAAGTGTGGCAGCGTTGAGGATGGTGCGCAAAGCCTTCGACGTGATGGTGCGCAAAGATATCGTTGCCTGGGGAGCTATCATCACGGCCTATTCGGAGCACGGAGATGGAAAGACCACCCTGGAAATGTTTCGAAAGATGGAAACCAAACCAAACATGTATGCTTACTCCGGAGTGCTGGACGCTTGCTTGAGCTCCAGACAGCTTAAGTGAGTTTAGCAAAAAGGTAAATAACAGTGTTGTGTTGCTAGGAGCAGGATCATCTTCTTCGCGGATGGCTTGCAATCAAGCTGATGAGGATCCAATTCAACTGGGTTGAGGAGGATCTGCACACATGATACGCTAGACATACATGTGGACTTAGGGGAGGAAGAAAGTATGGAAAAGCACTTGGTATGGAGGAAATACTGGAAAACAAGTTCCAATGCTCGGGAACTGTTAAACTTAATTTTGACAGGTCAAGGGGACATATGAGAACAGAAAAGTATCCCTCCGGATTACAGCTCCTGACATGAAATCCTCCAGTGTTTCGTGCAAGACTAAGGGAGTGAGTAAGGATGGCTTGGAAAAAAGTCAGTGAAGAAGGGGGATCCTGCCTTTGATTTTTCTTGGTCTTGTGTAAGTTGCTTTGTATTTCACCTTTCAGTTTAAAGACAGTGTCTCTTGCATATCACACTCTTCTCTATTGTTGCTCCTTCCTGGTACCTGTGGGATCAGTGTCATGAAGCTCTTTCTTAGTTTTCCTTTCTGAGGAGGAAAACTATTAAGTCAGTCAAAAGAATCTATGTGTTTTAGGGTGTTGTAAGACACAATTACTTCTTCACATTGAGGGTGAAATAAGAAAACAATGAGAATTCAAGTGAGAGACATTCCCTCACTTTCTCTCACTTTCCTTTTCTCTCCTAGAATCCCAAGCACTACCACTCTTGTGTGATCATCCTAAGATGCATAAGATAAGCATAATGCAAATTTGGATATTATGGATTTATCAGAGACACTATTCGTGTGTGGCAGACATTGCAAGATAACTGGATTAATGCAAGATACAGATGAGTTCATCAAGACAACTTCAGATGAGCACAATTGAAGTTTGTAAAGTTCAAAATGACATGAAGAGATGAGCAGAGGGTGGCAATGGATATGTTTGTGTGTAAAGTGTGAGTAGTGAGTTCTATGATTTGGAGTTTGCTTTTTGCTAATACCAGCTATTATGAGATTGATGTAGTGTCTTGTGTAAGTCAAATTCAAAATTATCTTCTCATTTTCTCTCAGCTATTTTACATGTATAGGTGTTCTTGGCATAACTATAAATTCTTGAGTGTTTAGTGATTTAGCAACAACTTTGCTTAATCCTCCCACTTAGGGTTGATTCTAAAAAATGAGGTTACCAAGTTTTTGAAGAGATGGAGAATGACAATAGAGAAATGTGATGCTAAAGGTAATGGACTAATCCTTCAACATCAACATGGTGTTTGCATATGTAGGTTAAGCTTCTAAGCACAAAAGTGGCAAAAGGAAAGATGATGAATTATGTACAAAGATGCAAGACAAACCATCAAGTTAGCAACAACTAAAAATCAAAGCAACAAATGTGATTTATATTATTAGATATAATGCAAAACATCACGAATGAATGGACAAAATGTCATGTGGAACCAATGTCAAATCTGGTGATGCACAACCAAGTAAATTAGGTACTTCAATATAATTTTTTTTATGTCACATTTATATCTTTTCTATTAAATGAAGGAAATACTGATAATGTTTGTTTCTTAGGTAAATATGAAAGTTCTAATGATGGATCATGTTACTTCTATATACAAATGAGTGATTGATGTTTTCTCGACACTCTCCCTGCAGAGCTCTCTCAGCCTGTCGTCGCCAACCACGGCCAACGAAGGCAGCAGTCGACGAGCTTGCCGTAATCAGCAGCCCTCGGGCAAGTCATACACGAGATGGTATACGGTGGTGATGATGAGAACTCCAACTCGATCACGGCAAAAGCTCACTTGTCTTGGGTGATGAGCGTTTGCAAGCTCTGATCGCAACTCTTTCGCCCGGGCAAAGACAGTAGACGTGGCAGTATGACACAGTGCCAACGCACTTCCCAGATTGTAACAATGTCACAACGTTTTGTCAGCTGGATTCGATTGGACTGGAGCTTCCAAGCCAAATTTGATAGATTGCCACTGCCAGAATCGCTGCTGCGCCTGCGCGACAGCCAAAGGGACAAGAGAGACCCTGTTGTTTGGAGCTTTGCCTGTGCTCCCCTCTCTCTTTTTTTCTTTTCTTCTTGGGCAATGGGTGATGAGAAATTGGATTGGAGCCATACATTAACATCCACATTACCTATATGATCTCGCGACATTGGAGAGGGGCAAACCTGGATCAATGGGATTTAGGAGTTATATGCGAAAGGAATCATTGAAAAACAATGCCTGGCCCTGTTGCTGCGATGCCTTACCACGAACGCCTTGAGTTGACACTACTACGTTGTCCGGAAGATCGTGAGGTTCCCAGCAGTTGTCGGCCTCCTTTTTTGTGGACCCGTGATTCCACACCACCTTTTCCCCGTTTTTGAGCTAGCAATGCCCGCTCACAATTGCGATCGTTCGTCGGTTGATCCTGATACTAGCATTTGGGGCAATTCGATCGATCGATGACACAAAGCTCACTGGAGATCCTGTGCTCCTCTGAAGAGAGGATAAAAAAAAATCAAGTCTTTAAACGAAGAAACCACAAGGAAAACAAAAAATTCCTAGAAACTCTGCTGTTCTAAGTGGGATGGAGATGTAAAATAAGGGCAAATGGGACAGAAGAGGCCGTGTGTGATGGGCTCAAGGCACGAAGAGGAGGACCAAGTCCTTATCACTGATATTTCTACTGGGTAAGTAGCATTTAGAAAAAATGCTAGCAACATTGCTTAGAGTGTGCTCTTTTTTTTATCATAGGAGTGGGGCAAAAGAAAAGGCAGAAAGTGAGTAAAAAGAGCCAAATTGACTCTTATTTCTCACTAGTTTCTTCATGGCCTTCTACTGTATCAACTAGTAGTCAACAACAGTCTCTTCGATCTCAAGATGCTCATCCAAGTGAGCCACATGCTAGTGATGATTAAATGAAGGTGCTTACTAGGAAATGGCGTGCTGAATGGGGTCTTGTGCATCCTTGGAGCAAGCTTGTGAGAGATCTATTAGAAGGATGAAGCTATAAAAAGGGCCTATGGACATTGCGTGTGAAAAATGACTCAATGAAGAAGAGGAGAGAATTCTTCAGGTGATGAAGCTGGTTCACCACTTTGTGGTAGCAATTTTTCCATTGGACAGTATAGCTTCGGAGTTCCAGAATTCCGTCTACCAGAGGCGCCAAACTTTCCTATAGGCAGCGATTATTCAGCATATGTCAATCCCGTAGCAGCACATGATTTCCTCGATGCAATTCAAGATGTGGTGCAACAAAGGCTCTTTGACAACATCAGGGAGAGTCTTTTCTTCTCAGTTTTGGTAGATGAAAGTACTGACCATGGCTGTGAACAGCATTTGATCATTTATATGGTCTACTTGCATGGAGGGAAGGAGCTACACTGTGACTTTCTGAAGCTTCTACAAGTGTAGAATGGGACATCAGAATCGATCTTTGAAACACTACAAGGTTTGCTCTTGAACATGAATTTGAGAGTAGAGAACATGATAGCCTGTGCTTAGAGTATGGTGGGCCGTAACACAGGTGTGCTCCAGAGGCTGAGAATGATTTGTCCCAAGATCATTGGTGTGCACTGCGTAGCTCACCGAGAGGCTCTTGCTGCCAAGGATGGCTTTACAACCAATCAACCAATCTTTGACGCCATCGACAAGCTAGCTCAAAAAATCAAGTCGTGGCTGGGGAAAAGCTCTTTAAGGCATAAAGAGCTAAAGGAGCTTTTACAGTCATATTGTCTTAAGGAGCTCAAGATGCTAGCAATGCATGATGTTCGTTGGCTATCTAGGGGAGAAGTGATGCAGTGGCTGGTGATAGCTATGCCTGCTTTGCTTGATCAGTGGAAAATTGCAGATAAAACTCAGTACTCCAGCCTCACGACCATTCAGGTATGGTTTTTTCTAGTTAAAATTAGTGTAAGTTCTAATTTAAACTATCATTTTAGGTTCAGTTTTTTATTCATCTGCTAGCAGATGTTTTGGCTGAGCTGAACAAGTTGAACGTCCTTTTCCAAGCACAAATGACAAATTGCTTGGAGATTGTATCATTTCTAGATATGACAATTGAAACTTTGAAGGGGCACAAAGGATAGTGTGAATGGAGAGCTTTCTTATGTCAAGGCTGGAGGGGATAAGTCTGTACACAAGTTATAATACAAGCCAGTGGAGGTGAAGAACACTAGGATGTCAAGTGAACCTGCTCAATCTTCAAGTGTTGTTCCACTTGGTCTAGATTTGAATGCTCTAGGGACAGCTTTATTGCCAGCACCAACTCCAGGTTCAGTAGCAGATTGTGTGATCAAGGGCCAAGCTTATGTTCAAGCAACAGTGAACACGTTGAACACCTGTTTTCCAGATGTTACCTTCTTCAACAGCTTCAAGCTATTTAGACCAGTGTCATAGCCTCAAGACTTTCACGAGCGATCAACACTTACAAGAACATGGCTCAATCGGCTACTAGAGACAATCAACACTGATTCAACCATGGTGAATATTGTTGCTTGTAACAACAAACTTGATGATTTTACAGGGGTTTTAATGTGGAGCATTGGAAACAAAACAATGCATGATGCTTGGAGCTTCTGTAGCACAAATGAAAGATGGTGGAATATGTTTCCAGGTATATATTTCTTATAAAATTTTAACTTGCTTTATTATGGGTTTAATGAAGCTATTCCAACTTTGTATGGTTGTCCCTACAAATGCTGCTTTATGTGAGCAAGGGTTTTCATTGTAGAACAATACTAAATCGAAGACTAGAGCCTTATTAAAGCTACATATGTTAGATGCGCTAATGATGGTGAAACTCAATAGTGAAGATCCAAGAATTATAAATTGGCATGAAGTATTTAAGGTATGGAAGAATATGAAGCAGAGGCAACCTCATACTATTGCTACTAGTTAGTTTTTTTATTTGTATTCAAATGACAATTTTAATTTACAAGCTCCTTGTCATGAAACTAGTAAAAAAAAATTTACTAGTCAAATTTTTTTTTAAGTAGCTGGTCAATATTAGACCCTGGTGGGGAGAACAAAGACGACATTACCAGACGGTGCTCAACCTCGAGACCAAGCCATACGACATCCTCCACAATTTGGAGAATCAAAAGCCAAGCATCACTTTTGCTCAGCTCTTGCAGCTGGCTCCAGGTCACCATGGCGCACCGGGAAGCAATTGTGAACGCAGCCTGGCCAATGATTGATCTGGATACACCTGTGATTGATGCTAAGATTGTGGGCGAGAGGCTTTGAGAGTGTGTGATTGACAGGGGCTCAGCTATTAATGTGATGCCGGAGGCCATGGTATCCAAGTTGGAGCTGGATGCACCTACACCAATTCATTTCAAGGTCCGCATGGCAAATTAGTTGCGTTCCAAGCCAATCACGGGAGTGAAAACTGAGATTGCAAGTTTCACCTTCTTTGTCGATTACGTAGTGTTGAGAATGGAAGGAGGTACCCTGATGGATTACCTGGGAAGACCATGGCTGCGCCAGGCACAGGTGGAACAGAGCTGGAGGACCGGTTTCATCACACTTTGGGGATGGCAACAACACTTGAATGATTCAAGTTGCGATGAAGAGTAAATTGGTGGTGACTCCGATTGGACTGGAGGTTGATGCAGGGATGATGGTAGTGATACCACTTCTGGAACGGCCCCCGGACCGGAGGAAAACAATATGTCGAGCATGATCAGCCAGTGCAGCTCTCTCGAGAATTGCTCATCAAGGGCATTCTGGTTACGAGCCTCTGGTGCTGTCCCCAATGAAGGAAGACACATTGAGTGAGTGCCTGCATCATTGGTCACAAGGAGGTGAAGTCGGGCGTGGCATGGTGAATGCAATATGAGGGGGAGATTGAGTAAGCTTAGGTTTTTCTTTGAGCACTTCCTTGGGTGGCCTCTCTAGCACCACTCAAGTCCATGCTTACTCCCACCCAAGGCCCTCAGCCCCAGTCTCAACATCAAGTCAGTTTGGAAGCATTATTGGAAAGTTCCTTCAAGACTAGTTCTTAGATGTCACTATCTCTACTATACTTTTAGAACCCCTTGTAGCCCCCCCTAGGAGACACATGCTTTGGGCTTTCACTCGATGACTTGTATTAGTATTCGGACTCGGTCTTGGATTTGATCTCGGTCTCAGACTCAATCTCGAACTTGATCTCGGACCCGACCTTGGACTCTGTCTCAGACTCCATCTCGGATCTCGAACTCGGTCTCAATTTTGGTCTTAGACTCGGTCTCAAACTTGGTCTCAGACTTGATCTCGGACTCGGTCTCGAACTCGGTCTCAAAGTTGGTCTCAGACTCAATCTCAGATTTGGTTTCATCCAATGAACTCTTTATCATTTTGGTCTTGCTTTCGAGGATCTTTTAGCCTTCAACATCTCAGGGAGTTGGTTCCTTACAACTAACTCCTTAAGGTATCGTAGGCTAAAGGATCTATAAAATCACAACTGGAACGATAAAGAGTTCATCAATATTAAGTCTAAGATCAAGTTTGAACACCAACTCTAAGACCAAGTCAAGACCAAATTTGAGACCGAGTCTGAATCTGAGATTGGGTCCGGATCTAAGATCAACTCCAAGATCAACTCCAAGACCAAGTCTGAATATTAATACAAATTGTGGGGTAAAAGCCCAAAATGATCGTTTCTCAGAGGGGGTGGGGGATTGGTTGTAGAAAGTTCCAAAAATATAGTAGAGATAATGAGGTCCAAGACTTAGTCTTGAAGGAACTCTCCAATAGTGCTTTCAATCGAGATGAGGTTGGGATTGGGGGTTAATGGCCTTGGGTGGGAGTGAGCATGGATTTGAGTGCTGCTAGAGAGGCTACCCAAGGGCAACTCCCACTCTTGGAAGGAAAATCAATTGTAATATTCCTAACTCATATAGAATGGTGCCCCACTGGGCATGGACCATACTTGAGCTCACGAGTTGAGCTCAATTTTCAATTGTAAATTTAGTATAAACATTATAAACTTTAAAATTTTAAGTTTATGGTGAACCAAATAATTTAATAACTCTCTATATATTATATAGATAAAAATGTTCTAAAAAACACTTCTTGTTCTAATAATTTAAATATTTACTACATGCAATGATAGGGACATTTGTTAGAACATAAAATAAAATATTTGCAAAAAGAGTATTCTTGTCACTTCTTTAAATTTGTACTCTATGCTTTTTGGCTAGTAAATGTCAGGTTTGTCAGAATTAAAAAATTAAGATCAGTGAGAGCTCACTACTCTCATAGAGTCTAACAAAATGTAAGGTGCAACCTGCCACCAAGCACAACGCTATAGAAGAAAGACACAAGGGTCACCTTTCTTAGAAAAGCGCAATGGCCATTTTTCTACACCAACTCCAGACTCTATCCAACTCAATTGCGTTAGCCCCAAAAGTCAGCATCCCTTTCGGGTTGCATCATACAAACTGCGTATTAAGGTTTAAGCCAACCAAAGTCAACTTGAACCCCTTCACTAATTTGAAGAAAATTTTCCATCTTAGAGAAAGAATGACTCTTAGTCTAGGAATACAAACTTTCAAGACTCAACCAACTTCCTCCTACCAACAACTTTATATATATTCACCTCAACACCGATTCTTATGACCCAATAGTATGCTTAAACATTAAACATCTTTGCCCATATAACCGACATCCAACACCAACATCTACAAAATGCAAAGTGAACATCTAAGGCTTGATCACGAAGACCACATCTTTGGATATCCATATTGCACTAACACTTTTCTTCACTTTCAAGATCCAATGTTAAGCCAAAGTACTAATAAAAAAAATGACATGGAAAATCAAGTTCTAAGGAAAAATTCCTCATCACTCAAAATAACAATGCCACTTCCACTAACATAAGTGCTAGTAATGACAATGCCTCAACTACACACCTTCTCCATCCAACAATCTACTCCAAGTGCTAATGGATTAACTGACAAGCCATAACAAGTGAATGCTATAACCCTTTCCAACACCTTATGGGCAAATTCCCCAAGAAATAGAGTACCAACATAAGTTTAGCATAATGAACCACCATTGAGAATCCAATCAAAGTTACTACAATGCTACTTCATATAAGTAGACTAGCTTCACCATCAACCACTTTGGGGTTGATTATCATTTAACCAAGCAACTTCGTCAACACATTGCTCATTATCACATGGATATGATATAAAATCACAATGACTTGATCATCAATTGAACAACACTACGAGCAACACCCATGTCATTACTTCAAAGGTTTATGTGAGCATCAAGTGCCAACTCAATTCGACAAAATGTAACACAAATGCCACACTCTACCGATAGAGACTTACAACACCCAACACCACTAACTTTTGTTCACAATATAAACAAGCTCATGCACACTGCCTTCAGTCCAATCTAAGAAAAATTTATGAAAGAGCACAACAATAATTACTTAAATTAATAGACCTACGTAGTGCACTTTATCTCTCTCCCTTTAAGCCAACTGAAAAAGGGACAATTGCTTGATAAGAGAGCCCTTAGTGGCTATTTTATCCCTATTTATCCCCCAAAGTTTTAAGGATCTACGGTGACAGTATATCTAAATCTCATCCCATGATCACATGTGCTACACTCACCCCCCCCTTTAGAGATGTCAATGTCCTCATTGACTATTGACTAATAACCCCTACTGAGCCAAGGGGAACCAGCACTTCCATTTTCGCACTCAATCTACCAATCCTTCCATTGTGTAAACTAGCTATTCCATGTGAGGCAACTAATCATCCACCCGTATTGCAATCCCATGGTGGATACCTTTGTCCGTGGATGCTCCACCAAGAGGAAGGACATACGCATGGATGCCCAATACGTATGATTTTAAATTTTAGGGGTAGGAATATACTTTGTTCAAGGTATATTATATTTTTAAGTAGCCACTAATCAATGGGAATCAAATTTGTGCCATTTTCTCTGATACCACATGTAGCGCACCTTATCTCTCTTCCCTTAAACTAACTAGAAAAGGGGCAATTGCTTAATGAAAGAGCCTTTAGTGGCTATTTTATCCCTATTTATCCCCTAAGGTTCCAAGGATCCACGGTGACAGTATATTTAAATCTCATCCCATGATCACATGCGCTACACTGTGTCATAATTTCTTGATTGTCTTCAATTTCAGGTTGTTGCTGTTAATATGCCTTCAAGATTTATGCTTTGTCATAATCATTAAGACCTTCATTCATATTGTTCAATGATGGTTGGTTGAAATTTCTTTGCGATCTTCTTTGCTATAGTTGTGGGGATTCAAGGGGGTTCTTGATGCTCTCCAAAAGTAATTGTGTTCTTCCGCTAGTATGTGACAACATTAGCTGTTTTAAGCCAAGTTTGCTTGAGGAATACTTTATAGGAACTTTAGTCTTTTG